ATAGATCTCCAAGGAGCTTGCAAACAGACCGAGGTTTAAAATTTTTCAACTAACATTTTCGGATGCTCATGAAGAACAAAAATATAAATCATTATTCAACCTACTCTACGATGAAAGCGGCTGTTGTGGAACGATTAAATAAAACACTAAAAGAAAAAATGTGGAATAAATTTACTACCAATAGATCATATAATTGGATAGACATTATAGCAGATTTAATAACAAATTACAATAATACAAAACATAGCGCCATAGGAACAACTCCTAGTATAGCATCGCGTATTCCTGGAAATGTCAGTTTTAAACGGCTACCAATTTTAAAATACAAACGCTGAGCATAAGGCCGTCGATATGCAAAAGAGTACGCGTCTTCCTCGGTGAGCATAACCTCAAAATCTTAATTGACCCCATACCCGATATCCGTATCGGATAGTAATACCCTAGTCCGTGTCTTGAAGCCACAGTCTTCGGACGGTGCTTCTGATCGCGGTATATGATATGAGGCCTCCAATTTGAAATTATACTTGATCGGACGGTTACCTACGATTTCAGCGAGTCTGGCCAGCAGCTCGAATTTAACGGCGCGCAGAAAATCTCGATAGCTCGCGAAATTTTCCACGTTCTTACGATAATACCAAACGGCCCCCAGCACCAATGCGGAATCGATCTCAGTGCAATTACGGGTATTCGTCAATTGCATACGTAACCTTTTCGACCTAACCGTACTATTGTTAGCCCTACTACGCTTAGCCGCCTGACGTGATGAAACAAATATCGCAGAAGTATAAAGTAAATTTTTTTTTATACATTAAAGTAAAGTAAAGAATTTTTTTTTTTATAATAAAAATAAATCGAAAATTAAAATAAAATGATAGTAATATTATAGATATTGGATTTATTTTATTATTTTTAACAAATAAACGAATTTAAAAATTAAAAATAATTAAAAAATAAATTTATTAAAATAAAATAAGTATATAATTGGAAAAATCTACATACCTTGTGTAGAAGACGATTGAGCTTGCTGGTTCATGGTTTTATTTGTACGTGTAAATTAATAAATAATACATTTCTGGTTTTCAAAAAAACAACTGCACGTCAATGATAATTAAAAACAAATGTGACAGGACAAGATGTGTTTAACCGGTTATATAGTAAATAATAGAATACGTAGGCGTGAAACACCGCCAGTGGTGTCAATTTTATCATAAAATGCATATGAGAGTGATCGTTACTGTACGGCGACATCTTTAATGTTGAAAAATATGCTTACCAAAGCGTCTGCTAGTCGATGATAAAGTTCTTAAAAATTATAGCTTTATATTTAAAAATACACAGACAGCGTCACAATTTGTTCCCATACAAAATTACAGACGATTATGAGCGATATACTATAATTATACCTTATATATGCTTACCTAAGCGTCTGGTAGACGATAATAAAATTCTGAGAAATTATAAAGCCATAACGACAAACGTTGCCATTGTTCTCATAAAATCCATACGACAATGATCATAACTGTATGGCGACAACTTAAATGTTGAAAAATATGCTTACCTAAGATTCTGGTAGTCGAAGAAAAAATTCTTAGAAAACGTTTACGTTGGGTTTCATCCTCTCTCACCACCTACCATTATGTTAGTTTACGTAAGGTTTTGTCGTTCCCATTCCCATTGCATTAGGTTAGTTTACGTTGGGTTTCTTTGTTCCTCATTCAATTACATTAAGTTAGTTTACATTGGATTTAATCCCCCCGTACACTTCCTCCACAACAACTGGAAGGTGGTTGAATGGATGAGGCTGGACCTCCCCAGCTCTCTCTATATTACCCTACTGAGGTCATTTTGAGAATTATTTGTATATATTTAATTTCTTATAAAAATGTAGTATTGTTTTAAATAAATTCTCTAGACAATATTATTCAAAAACTACATTTTTCTATTAGTCAATTTGAATAATGACTGATAAGGACAGATATCATCACATAATAGATAAATATTTCTATATCATAAATTTGATTAAAACGTACGGTGAAAAAATCATCTGTTAAAGAATTCTATAGTTGTGTTTATTGTGATAATATCATAACTCAGTTTTTAACACAATATATTAAAAACTTAACAAGTATTAGATAACGTTTTTATAAATTATTTGATAAACTTAATTTTACTACTATATTAGTTTTCACGTCAATTACAAATGCTCGTTTAAAATAAAAGTTATTGGTATCAACATTTTTTTTTAAACTTATTTATAAAATGACTATTTTAAAATCTTAAAAAAAATTATTTTTTATAATTGTGAAAAGCAAAAAAATATTTCTTAAGTCCTATAGTGTAAAAATTGATAAAAAAAAAAAGTGAATAATGTTTTATATATCATACGTTATAAAAGTTGTCAGTTAGATCCGTTCAATCTGTATATGACTTGTCCTCAAACATTGTTCCTCCACTTATTATTGAAGTATATATATATATAGTTATTACATGCGAAATAACGTAAGCTCAGAGAGCACTATTTTATGAAAACGATTAAATATATTATAAACCACATGATTTTATTTATATTAACATTTTTGGAAAAAATGAAAAAAAAAAATTTTATTACTTATTTTTATCACAGGAAAAAAATCATATTAATAAGTATTTTCTAAATTTTTTCATCCCATCCGATCATAAGTCATTTATGCACTATTTAATAAATCAGGACAAGATAACACTTTATGGTTAATTTTTCAAATTGTGTGTACGTCATTTCTCTAATACACGGTTTATTTGTTTATTTATGAAGACTATTGTAGATTTTTGAGATATTTTCTGAAATTTTACACAATTTCAGCAATATTTTAATAGGGTAAAAAAAATTCTATGTTATCTTACAATAATCATAAAAATTATGTATGATATGTAAGTAAAATTAAAAATAAAACTTTTTCTATAAAGATGACTCGTAATTTTTTTTTATTAGTGATAGAAAACATTTTTTTTTTATATATAAAGCATTATAGACCATGTTAGGAACAGGACTGAACTGTGAACGAACTCCTATTCATACGAAGGCGACAAGAGGAAAGCCGTTTAGTCAGTTGATTTTCTAAGTATAACTATCTGATTTATTTGTAGAGGAAAGTGCATGGAGTGGAGGGATAGGGAGGAATAGGAACAATTAAGCTAAATAAAAATTACAATCAAGTATTATGAGAGTAAAAGTAAATAAAATTTGTACAATGAGCAAGCCAGCTAACTCCTATGTGCTAACTACCTTACCTGTGACATTTGTTCAGTTAGTTACTTATGATACATGATTTGTGATAGTGGACTGTATATGTGCTAAAGAGGTAAAGTAAAGGTGAATATTCAGTGAAATCAGTAAATTTATTGCAATGAGCAAAGTACAAAGAATAATATTTAGTACAGACTTGAATTCAATTATTTTGTACAATTATATTAACAAATTAAATTAAGTAATTAGTAGGTATTGGACAAAAAAAATAAGTACAATTGTTATGAACGGTAACAAAATTAAGATAGGGATAAGTAATAAAATTGTTCAAGAAAAGTAGTTGAATCAAATATATGAAAAACAATTATTATCAAATTATGAGTTAATAAACAACTGGACATTTGAAGAATACTTTGATTAAAGAATATCCCATTAACTTCTTAATGGGATGATCAAAGTCGGATTCATTTTGAACATCTCGTACTTTTCTAGTCATGAACAAATACTTGGTTTTTTCCTGATTTATCGAGAGCCCCATATGCTTGCATACTTCCACTAGGATTGACATACTGTTTATGGTATCCTGCTTCGTATCGCCCATAATTATCATATCGTCAGCATAGGCAATATGATTTTCATTTACTTCCATTGTTTGTCGCTATAGTATTCTCCTTATCACACTTTTTAGAGCTAAATGAAATAGCATCAATGATAGCGCATTTCCTTGTCTTAGTCCTTTACTCACTTCAAAAGCATCTGACAGCTCCTCTTGTACCCGGACTACACATTTTGTGTTGCTGTTGCATAATTTTATTAAATTTACTATTTTAGTTTGAAAACCTAAATTTATCAAACTTATCCATAACTTATTTCTAATTATATTGTCATAGATTAAAATCCACACACACTAGATGGATATCGTTATTATTTTCATAATGTTTACTTATGATTTGCCTTAACGTGAATATGTGACCTATGGTTAACTCACTCTTTCTAAAGATATTTCACCTTTATATCATATCCAAGATATAAGATTAAATATCTCCTCAGTTAACCTAGAACCTCCTAGCTTTAGTAACTCTCTGCAAATTCGGTCTTCTCCTGCAGCCTTATTATTCTTAAGTGATTTAATGATCACATCAATTTCTGCTCTGCTTAGATCCACTTCTTCGTTCTCTAGGCTGTTGATTGTAGGTTCTGTTGTATTTAAAAATGAAACAATCTTTTTGTTCTAACTTATAGTTATAATTGTTCAATAATAACGCAAATGTAATTAATAAGGATATAATCAAACAAAGTAAAACATATAAAATAATGATACACTTTAAACAGGATAAATAAATAATACACAAAATGAAAACTTAATGTCACAAACGTACCACGCGGAAAGAGATTACCTTCTCTCACCTTCATTTCAATTCATTCCATTTCGTCTTATATACTAAAATATTTTTGTTTTTCTTTTTAAGAAATTCATAATGCATTTTATAATCATTTTAAAAAATGTTTATAAATATTTACTTCTTGGTCTAGTAACAATAATTTGGGGAATTACAATTAATCTAAACATTACAAAAGTGTTCTACTTCTAGGTTTACAAATAATAGACTTCTTCTTTCTTTTACTGGCATTCCTACTCTCTAAGAGTTTTTGCCGCCATTACTACGCTTCGCCACCTATCTCTATCTTGGGCTGTCTCTCTCCAGTCTTCAACTCTAAGGATTCTTAAATCTTCTTCTACCACGTCGATCCATCTTTTCTTCGGCCTCCCTCTAGGTCATTTCTCTTGTGGTTTCCATTCCAATGCTACCCTGGTTATCTCGTTCTCTCTTCTTCTCGCTATGTGTCCTAACCATTGTATTCTTTGGCCCTTAATAAAACTTGTTACCGGTGCTATTTCCAACATGTCATATAGTTCACTGTTGTACCTTCTCCGCCGACTTCCCGTTGTTTCATCGATGACCGGTTCGCATATTTTCCTCCACACTCTGTGCTCAAAAGTCCTCAGGTTTCTTTCTGTTTGTTTGGTCGTTGTCCACGCTTCGCAACCATACTGTTTAATGACTCTAAAAAAGTTTCTAGTTCTCCCTTGTGTATGGTCGTTCTCTGCTGTTTGAAGTATGTTGCTAAAAAATTTCCTTTTTTCCCTTTGAAGGGTGCTTTTGCAGGCTTTACGTTCCCGTATGAAACTATCTTTAGTCATTTGAGTGTTGTTTTTAATAAATTCATTTCTCGATTTTCTGCGTCTGTCTACAGCAACTCTACAAATATCATTATACCAAGTATTTCTTGACCTTTTTAGCTCACCAATACTAGTGGCCGCTGCTTTGTTAACAGCGTTTCTCACTATTTCCCAATCCAGATCTATGTTCATTTGTGCATTATTCTCTTTAAGGTTCTTCGTGATTTCGTTCTCATAATTCTTCCTCACGATTTCATCTTTGAGTAACTCTAGATTAATTTTGATCCTTTTTTCTTGCTTTAATTTCAATTGGCTTTTTAACAAATAATAGACTATATTATATTTTTGTAATAATAGATCAAGAAATTCATAATTAAACCAAATAGTTGCTATATTAAACTATCATAGTTTGATGATTAAATATGAAATCATAATTAGATATAAATACGTTAAAATTATTTGACTCGCCTTATAAAGTTTTCTAAAATTGTATTTTGCTAAAGATAAACACATCTTTAATAATTTAAGAAGGCAATAGAGATAAATAATATTATAATATATTCATAAATATGTTTAACATTTTGGGTTCGTCCTGTTTTTATTTAATAATGTATTAATAAAATATTACAATAAATAATTGTATTACTATTCTCAGTGTTGGCACCTTATTTGAGTGATTTATTAGAAAATCATAACTGTTTGTATAGAAAAAGCAGATGGATGCATTTTCCATTTAAAGGATTAGGAATTGGTCTCTTGTAAGTTACAGTTTTAATTTAAATATATTATACAATTTTTTGTAATAAACATAATCTAATAATTGTTTTTTTAATATAATCACGGAAATTAATGGTTGTATACTATAAGCTGGATTTAACAATTAAGCAATTTTTTTCAATTTATAGAAACAATTGTGTCTTATGTGAACGACCTATTTTAAGTGCTAGAAAAAATATTACTTGTAGTTATAGTTATTAGAAAGGTGGGCATATAAATTATCCATACAAATAAAATAAAAGATTTAATGTGCGCACCCTATATCGAATTTAATATTTAAAATCGATTTGTTATTGAACTAATATAAGTATTTTTATTTGACGAGTGATTGATAGTCAAATTATTTAAATTTTATAGAAGGTGTTTTGTGGAATTAAATCGGAAAGTTTTGAAACATTGCTAAAAGTATGGTTATAGAGACTCCTGATTAACCAAAAAATTAGCCATTTCTCGGAGTTCCAGAAGAGTCCGCCATCTTGGATTCAATCTAAAAAAACCCCAGCACAGTGGGGTCGTAGCATAGTTGGGTCCAGTATAGATGATATCTGACAGTGATTAAAATCACTATCATAAAAAACGCTTCGATGCAAATCTGTAGTGTTTAATTAAAAAAAAAAAAATTTGTTAAAATAGCATATTTTTGAATACGGTAGTCATTTGCGCATAGAAGATAGGTCGTCGGGAAAAATTTTTTTTTTTTATTTTATAGTACATAAATAAAGCTTTAATTTGATATATGTTTGAAGGACGCCGTATTTCCGGAACATTTTCAAAAATTAAGTTGAAAAATATAATTTTGGAAAGAAGTTGCTATTATAAATTCCCCCAATGAGCAGGTTAAAAGATAGATTTTCAAAAAAATGATATCAAATGAAAGGTAAATATCTAAGATTTTAGTATAAAAAAAAATTATGTTGATTTGTTGATTTTAGAAAAAGTTATGGAAGTTTTAAGAAAAAAAGTGAAAAAATGACAAAATTCACCGATTTTTAAATATGTAATTTTTTTGGATATTTCCCCCATTTTCGGGGAACGAGGGAATTTTTTTCAATTTTTAAGGATAATGTCTCCAACTAGATACGATTTGTGATCTTTTGACGTACTTTTGAAAGAAATCGGTCCAGTGAGAGCTGAGAAAAAGTGGTAACAGACAAAAAAAAAAAAAAACAAAAAAACACATCTTAGTAAAACCAATACCTTCTCAGCTTCGTATTGAAGCTAAAAAATTATAAAATCATATATTTGTTTAAAATTTTATTAGTTACATTTTTGTANTATATTTGTTTAAAATTTTATTAGTTACATTTTTGTATAGTAGAACTTTTGAGATAAATTTAGTATTTTCAAAGATAATTTAATAAACGTGAAAAATCACACATAAAATCCAAGATGGCGGACACTTCTGGAACTCCGAGAAATGCGACTTTTTTGGTTAATCAGGAGTCTCTATAACCATACATTTTGCAAAGTTTCAAAACTTTCCAATTCAATCACACAAAAAATCGTTAAATGTCTAGACTTTGAGTGGGTAATGGTAAAAAAACCACTCAGTATAAACTATAGAGAATCAATATCATATAGGTTCTCAAATACCATAATAAATTGTTAGTACACAACCCTCAGACAATTTTTTCTCACTTGATGTAGTGGATTGGGGAGCTTATTTGCTGTTTATGAATACAAGAGGTGATTTAAAAATAATTCACTCTTGCTTATAACTTGAGACGAAAAGAGATATTTACAAAATAAAAAAAAAATTGAGAAGAATTCTTTAACTTCTTCATGCATGGTGGCATCATATGATACCACTGAATTGTAGAATTTATATAAAATCGAGAATCGTGGTTGCAATGTTATTATTATTTTCGTTTAATGTACCGAACGTTGCGCGTCGGTCTACTTGGATGTGTTATCATTGTAAGAGATATATTAATAAACGCGACACTGTTTTGTGTATTTGAAAAAGTCAAATTTTACTTTTTTTTATATATATAATTAACGACCAAATAATGTAAGTATATGTATAATTAATTACTTCTATTACATAAAAAAGTACGATCTATTCATATTTGGCAATATTGAAACAATATAATGTTGTTATGTATTCGAAATTGCATATTATATGAAAATTTATTATACTAAAATGTTTTTTTTTCTAGTTGAAAATGAATCTCAGGGATAAAGGTATAGCTTTTTTTTAAAATCCCTAGTGATTTAGAAGCTAGTTTTTGTGTTTGGAATGACGACGAAGAAGATATTAGTTCATCGACCAAAACCATAAATAGTATTTCAGAATATTTTTCCATTTACTAAACATGTCTATTGTGAACAGTTTGATATTATATCAGAAAATGAATGAAAATATTAATACCATTATTAAATTTTAAAGCTTCTATAGTTTGGACAATGCTGGAATTCGGTAAGGCAAGTAAAAGGGGTAAAAATCTTCTCAAGACTTGAATACTGACACGGCCACGGCTTTGTCACGTTTGACACCCCGCGGTCGTATCAGCTCCTTCTCAGCCACCGCTCCACTGTAAACCGGACCGTTACACACACGCGTTATCGCCGTGGTATAAAGTCCAATAAATGCCTAACGTCGAATACCCGCCACAATAATACGTCCAGTCAGTCATCTTCGTGACACCTATCACTTTGGATACGCCGTCTACCGGACCAACCAAAACGCCACCGCAATTTCGATCAACTTTTATTATTCTGTCAACGGTTCTTAAAAGTATTACTGTTACTTTCTTTTTTTTTGTTCGACTAGAGTTTTTACTAGTGTTATAATTCTCGTTTTCACTTCTTTTATTAAACGGCTCGACGCCCAGTTAAAATCAACCAGTGTTACATTTTCTACCCTCATCAACTTCTATCATAACAATACAACACACAAAAAAAAAAAGAAACCTAAGACGTGTACTCCACCAGAGCTCAGATATGACGATATTGATTATTATCCATTGAAAAAGAAAACTGGACAAGCATCTCGCTGCTATGAGATACATTGTAGATCGAGAACAAGATATATATGTGAAAAATGTGTATGTGCTATATATCCAGAATGTATGAGAGTGTTGTGACCGGGTTGGTACGGTAGACAAATGAAGAGAGAATGCGTTTGATAATTAGTTTATTATATTTAAAAAAAATATGTTTACACTTATTATTAACTTCTCGATTTTAATTAGTTGATAATTAATATAAAAGATTCAGTGAACAAGTTAACATAAAAGATTCAGTGAGCAAATTAACATAAAAGATTCAGTGAGCAAATTAACAAAAGATTCAGTGGAGAGTCGTCCAGGTTCGACCCATGAACTCTATGACTCTTGAACGAGTACCTGACTCCTACTGGCGCGTCGCCTCAGGCGGCGGCGGCCGTAGGCCCAATACATTGAAAAAGGCTGAGCAAGCATCGAATGTTCTAGAAGAACTAGATGCTTGCCTGGTAAATACTTTATACAAAACAAAAGAGGCTTCCGTTCCCATGATTATTATATATATACTATTAAATTACATAATTACAATTAGGCAGCAAAAAGCCAGTTCACAACATACCCCCGGAGTGAAACTGAGCAGTCCCTGCGACTAAATCTAACTTAAACTAGTTTTGTACAATATCTTAACTTACGGGTGCGCTAGTTACAATACCGCCACATGCGCTTTGTTGATAGTATCTTAGTTCTAAACTTACGTCTACGGGATACAGAAGTTTGATACAGTAATGATTGAGTAATACTAATTTTTCCAAAACAATTTAACCATTCATATAAATTCTCTTAAAAATAATTACATGACAAATATTAACCTAACAAATGGTGACCACTATAAGGGTGGCTGTTACTGATGCTAGGATAAGGATAATAGGAGAAGAAAGTTTCTTAAGGTTGTAATACTTAGGTTGCTGTAACCGATTAGTATACACGTAGCCACATGTTAAAAAGGTCTGGGGTTACCCAAAAATACTTTTAGTAACCTTGAAAACATGGATAAGGTAATGACAACAAATCAAATTATTTATATGAAGTCAGTTTTCTGAAAGATGAAGGACAAAGACAAAAATGAAAAAAAGAAATATATCTTCCTCCAGAAATAATTGAAAAAACAGGTGTGTCATCCAGTGCATTGTGGATTAAGCTTGAAAACTTAACGATCAGTATAGCGAGAGGCTTATGATTTTATTCGTGCGGAACTGTTTCCAAATAAATCGTATTGATCCAATCATGTATAAGATAGAAATATTAAATCACATAGTAACGAAATAGCAAGTGAAAAAGTGAACGAATTAGTAAATCGTATATTGAATGAAATAGTAAATGAGTTAGTAAACAAAGTATTAAACAGATTAATACAAGAGATAGTAAATGATTTAGGAAATGAAGTAGTAAACGAATTAATGAATGACATAG